TGCTGTGTATTCCTCTAATAAAAAGTATTGATATCATATTATTGAGGCCAAGTACATAAGTCACTACATGTTTGCCTATTATATGATCTAGCACTGGCCCATCATTTTAATTGTATTTTAAAAATTTCCTATAACATTTTCACTACTCTTTTATATTACTACTGCTTCTCGTAGTTGATTATGATTTAATGATTATTTAATAATGAATAAAACTTTAGCTAATTCCTTATCGAGTACTACTTGGCGGGTCCGTGCCAGGAATTCCAAAGTACTTACTTTCAACGTACTAATAGTATCCTACAACTATATGTTTGTTATTAAGCTTTTACCGTGTTTATTTTTGACGAGCTATTGTTAATAAGCTCTATATAGAAAGTTGAGATTGGTTTTGAGTTTGATGACTGGCATAATGAACGCAAATTTATGTCAAGAAATGCACGGACCCGCCAAGTAGTACTCGATAAGGAATCAGCTAAAGTTTTATTAATTATTAAATAACCATTAAATCATAATCAACTACGAGAAGCAGTAGTAATGTAAAAGAGTAGTGAAAACGTTATAGGAAATTTTGAAAATACAATTAAAATGATGGGCCAGTGCTAGATCATATAATAGGCAAACATGTAGTGACTTATGTACTTGGCCTCAATAATCTGATACCAGCACTCCTGTACTTGACGTAGTTTTTTACACGTGTTTTTTGGGGGATTACGCGTTTTCCCGCGTATCACTACAGTTCCCGCCGAGGACTTGACGGAATATTTTATTACGTCACAATAGCTAAACGAGCTGAACAACAGCCTTAAGGCCATTCTACAATGCAACGGGACATGGAACACGGAACACGTAAGCGGCGCGGTATTCAATTCTATATTTGCAATATTCCATTGGATCCTCCAATTAAGAAGGAGAAAATCGTTTTTAAAACCGAGCGTTTACTAAATCTTTACGATTTTGGCTACGTCTCGGACATAGCAATGATACGGAAGTGGTTGCTAGGGTCATTACGTATTTTACGGAACACGGAACGTGATGAGTATCATCGAGCATGCCCCGTTCCGTGCACCGTAACGGCTTACGTGAAAAAAAACAATTGCCTCGCCAATACTTTCATACGTGAAATGTCATTACCTGTCACCTGTCATTACTAACTCCATAGACAAGGTCGTTATAAATATCGTTAGACAAATCAAATTTCTCTACGACAAAAGTCATCGCGACTTTAAAAATGAAGTAATACTTTACTTATCTATATGAATAAAGGCATATACAAGTTTTTAAAATATTTATATGTTGACAGATAATGACAGGTGACAGGTAATAACATTTCACGTATGAAAGTATTAGGGGGGCAACTGTTTTTTTTTCACGTAAGCCGTTACGGTGCACGGAACAGGGCATGCTTGATGATACTCATCACGTTCCATGCTCCGTAAAATGACCTTAGCACCCGCTTCCGTATCGTTGCTATGTCCGAGACGTAGCCAAAATCGTAGAGCTTTAGTAAACGCTCGGTTTTAAAAACGATTTTCCCCTTCTTAATTGGAGGAACCAATGGAATTTTGCAAATATACAATTGAATACCGCGCCGCTTACGTGTTCCGTGTCCCATTGCATTGTAGAATGGCCTTTAATGTCGTTGTGAGCTTGCGCTTGCGTCGGAGATAATATGTACGGAAAACCAACAGCGAAATGCGCGAATTCGATGTTTAAAGAACAAATGTTCGCTGTTTCTGTATCACTACTTTTCCGTAGTGATATAAAAAAGCATCAACAAAATCGTATGTTCTACATATTCTATAATTTTGTTATGTGTTATATGTCTATTATTATTTCTATTATTATTATTATTATTATTTAATGGTATTTTTATTGATAAAATATCGACAAAAATACTACAGCGGTAGTGGCGCCGCCAAAATGTAGAGACCATAATCGTAATTACTGTTTACAGGTTTGTGGACCACATTTTCAATGTTACCTTCGGCCTTCTTTCTTCTAGTCTTCATACGTAGCAGTGTGGCCTTATTAAACAAATGAAAGAATGTGAAATTAATGATCTTAAAAATGTTATGACGTTAACTTTCATTTCTTTAATGATACCACCCTGCTCTTATTCATGAAATCATCCACTTGTTATATCCCAAAGTGGATCTACTTAAGCAAATTATTTTCGGCACATCGAACTTTACGACTGCCTCATGCAAGCCTTAAAGCGCTGAGTAACAGGCCATGCGCTCATACCACATGTCCGCGCGAGGTATGTAGCAAGACTCTTACTTTGCAAGATCATCAATACCAACCACTGTAAGTTAACCCTCGTATTATATTTAAATCTTCAATCTCATCAATCTACACCTTAGACGTCGCTCCCATTCGTCAGTATCATACCCACCCATTCCGCAGAAAGCAGATACGCTTAGTATTTTAATGGTAGATCATATTTCACTAGCTAAGATTTAACACATTGACGGCCAATTTCAGTTGGTGCGTTTGCCGTGAATTACCTTGTATTTACTATACATATGTCTGTATGATAAAACAAGAGCTGCAAGACCAGTGTATAAAATTTTCTAGAGATTTGCATACACATATTTTAGAACGTATATCGTCTATAATGTAATGGTATTGCATGTTAAATGTTAAGGAATAAACAAAAAGAAACATATTTTTCATATTTGCGTGGTAACATTTATCAATATTTCTGCTAATAATTTTTTAAATCTATTTATGAGTTCAATAGTGCAATTGGTCAATAGTCGAAAGAGCAACGGGATACACCATACAGCATATTATATACAGCATACACCATACACCATACAGACATATTTTGCTATAAATGTTAAAATTAACATCACTACCTTGATATATGTAAATACCGATAAATGTATAAGCTTGGTTAGAATGATTTAAGTATAGTGCACCATTAATTTTTTCTTCGTGCAATCTTTTAAATGTATTTAAAATCCTTTGAAAGTTTCAAGAATGCTTTAGAATACTAGACGTTATACGAGTTAGAGGAAATGTTGTGTTGTCGGCACAAGAACCGTACCAGTCATCTGTATTTAAAGAAAATATCATTGCCCCTTTAAAACCGCTCTTAAGAATCCATTCGATCTAAAAGAAAGAATAATTATGTATATGAATGAAACTATGCAATCGTTACCAATAAAATATATATTTACCAACTTACCTTATATTTTACACTTAAAATATCGTCGTATGAAATCCACTCGTCATTTTTATAAGTATATGGAACCCGACTCTCGTGTTCGAAAATAGTCTCTGCTCCAGAATGTAAGAACTTGCAGGTTGTTGAATATGGGACAAAGCCAGCACTTCCAGAAGTGCCAAAACTTTTTGCTGGGGATCCCACTTCATGATTCAACGAGTTATCCAGCTTATAGGAATGCCCATAAGTTGGAATGCCAATGACAATTTTTTCACGTGGCATTCCCTTAGAAAGGAGATAGTATGCAGAATAATTTACATTTAGAGTTGACAAATACCCTATCTCCGGTGATCGCGGATATAAAGGTGCGTTTAAACCAGTAATAGGAAAATACCAGACGAAAAAATGGTAATCGTAAGTCATCAGATTAACGAAATCAACGTGCCTATAACATAATAGAAAATTATTACATAACTGGAAGTCTTGTGGATCAATTTTAATTGTATACATACTGAGCTAGTTGCGGAACATTATAACTTTGAGCAATAATTGCTGGTGGTGCACCTAATGCAACAGACAGAATTAGATTTGGTGACGTACGATCAAATACCTTTTGCAATTCCTGTAAAAGTTGCACAAAATGTATTTTTTGACGTGTTTTACTATCTGGCCATGCTGGGAACTCCCAATCTATATCTAATCCATCCAAATTTAAGTTTTTTGTAACATTTAGGACAGAATTAATAAATCTATAAAGAATGTTTATTGCATTTAAATTCAATTACATATTATATTATCAATAAGTGTAATAAATAACTTACTTCTTCCTGTTAGTATGAGTTTCAACCATTTCTGGAAAACCAGAATAGAGCTCATTGGTCCCACCTACACTAACCATGATTTTCAGTTTGGGCTTACGAATCTTCAAGTTTACAACTTCCCTATACATTGAAATATTTTCTCCCAAACTAAGAGTACAGTTCACCACGCTCGCAAAACCCACGATAATATGCGTACAAAGATTAGGGTCAAGCTGTGACGGACTGAGCTCCCCCGACGTGTTCAGGTTTCTCGGTATTGTAAAGTAGCAGGCGATGATTTTGCTGCAGAAAGTATTTAAATTTTCAATTAAAAAAAAGAGGTTAAACTGCAGAATACGACTCTTTCTTGAAGTTAGTTGTAGATTGGAATTGCAGGAAAGTATCCTGTCAGAATGTCCACCCAGCAGCCAAATAAAGAAAAGAGAGAATTTACATTGTTTCGACCAGGGGTGTTGCGAATATTCGCATCCGCATCCGCAAATGCGGAACATCCGCATTGATTTAGACATCTGCATCTGCATCCGCATCCGCATAAATCAATGCGGATCTTTTATGCGGATGCGAATATGGAGCAAGTCGTAACACGACAAGAAAATGGGCAGGGTCAGAGTGCCGCGTGCCGCGCACGTATTTGCTATTGCTAATTGCAACTTTCTTTCGCTGACTGACCAATCGGAAGGCACGTGCTGGTGACAAGATTCAACAAGTTTGTTTGTTTTATTTCATCGACTTAATTCCTATTGCAAATCAATCACAACGTTTGTTTACTGTGTTTAACCAAGTTTATTGTGTGTTCAATGAATATTTGGCCGTAAATATTTTGAAAAAGTGAATTAAAAATGTCGCCATCGACACTAAACAATATCTGGACTTATTTTAAATTAGACGAAAGTAATCGGGATAAGTCCCGGTGCAAAATATGTAATAAAAGTTACTGGCGAAAGGGATGTACCACAACTTCTTTGAAAAATCATCTGAAATCGAGGCACACAAAAGAGTTTTGTTTGTTCGAAAGCTCGAATAACGAAAAACAATTGAAGAAGAAAAAAGATGATGCAGGTAAATTGGAATTTCAATCTTGCTTTATAAATTTTTACTTACGGTCAGACCCGATCAAAATATAATACAGCATTTTTATTTCATTAACTAATAAATATAAATAAATAAATAAATGAATAATTGTCAGCTATACTTTTTCTAGGAATTAGTCAAATTGAAACATGAGTTTACTGTCCCCAAACCTTCATAATTTTGTATTTAAAAATTGATAAAATTCAAAATGTTAATTTGACTAACTTTAAGAAAAGGAAGAGGTTCTCAATCTGACATTATCATTTATTTTTATATGACTTTTTTTACACTCGATTTTGATTTCATATTTTGTTTAATGAGTACATTGTTTGTGTAAGAATCTGAAAGGTGGTCCCAAATAGTTTTATCGTAATCGGTCTAGTACTTTTTAAGTAAATTAAGAAACAAAACACTTGTAGGAAATTTATATTGTAATTTTTGACGTTGGGTTTGAAGTCGGTTGCTTTTAAGGCTATTCTACAATGCAATATAATAACACGTGACACATAAAAAATAAGCAATAAGATCTTCAATTGATATTTACCTAATTCCATTGGATCCTCCAAATAAGAAGGAGAAAATCGTTTTTAAAACCGAGCATTTACTAAGTCTCTACAATTTTGGTGACGTCTTGGACATAGCAACGATACGGAACCGAAGTATCGTTGCTATGTATTTTTAACGTAAGCCATCGCAGATTACGGAATGGGGCATGCTCGATGCTACTCATCACGTTCTGTGCTCCGTGATATACGTAATATTTCGCCAATATTTCCATGCGTGAAATGTCATTACCTGTCACCTGTCATTAACCAACTCTATAGACGAGGTCATTATCAACATCGTCAGAGAAATGCAATTTCTCTACGATAAAAGTCATCGTGACTTTAAAAATGAAGTAATGATTTACTTATCTATATGAATTAACGCATAAACATTTTTAAAAATATTTATATATTGACAGATGACAGGTGACAGGACATTTGACAATGACGTTTCGTGCTCCGTGAAATCCTTAATGACCCTGGCAACAGCTTCCGTATTGCTGCTATGTCCAAGACGTCACCAAAATCGTAGAAACTTAGTAAACGCTCGATTCCAAAAACGATTTTCTCCTTCTTGATTGGAGGATCCAATGGAATTAGGTAAATATACAATTGAAGATCTTATTGCTTATTTCTTCCGTGTTACGTATTCCATTGCATTGTAGAATGGCCTTTAATGTTTTTATTTTCGTTAATAATTAATAATTATTATACAAATTGCAATTTTCAGAAAGGTTGTGATTTTTTTGTTAATTTTTTTTTAGATAAAATTCTTACTCCATTACAAGAAGCAAGGAAACAGCTTTCGCTAGAGGAAGTATTTCAAAAAGGAAAAAAATGGGATACGAAAATCCGAATTCGAAAAAGGTTGACAAACTCATTGGAGAAATGATAGCGCTTCAAAAGGAGGGGTGTTAATAAGCATGTATTTTTGACCCCGCTTGGATTGAGCTCATTTTCTCAAAAATGAATTGTCTCGATGGAACACACAACCTCTTAAAACCGTTTATCGATAGAGCTTTTTGATTCGGAAAACGGGGGGCCCTGCAGTCGACGATTTACATGGGATTTTAAGCATCGTGTCAATGGTGACAGGGTTTCATCCTGTTGTAAATCTACTCCACTCACCAAACTTTCTTGAAAACTGACCATATGTATGAGGAATAAAATACGTGAGAACAATGATTCTGCTAGGTGGCACACATACTTTTTCGTGACCCTGTATCAATCGACATTTTCAACATTGTTAGTTCCGCGGTACGAAACGCAATTCTCCTTATTCTATAGTTAAAAATTAAACAAATAAACAAGTTTAAGATAGAGTAGGCTCACCAACAATTATACAACACGTATATTATATTGCAGTGATATATGTAGTATATCTAGTGATATATGTAGTATAATGGTACTGTTATTGTTAATCTTTCCCAAGCCATATACTGTATACGTATACTGTATCATTATTGTATTTGTCCAATAAATTATCTTGCAACACTTATACACTTTTCGAATCTCCTATTCCTTCCTATGTCCCCATCACTCTCCTCCTATTATATCTTTAAAAACTAACTTCTTAAAATGCTTTTTGGAAAAAGAAAAGTTTGAAGTGGTAGCGCATGTAACATACCACACGTATATTATATTGTAGTGATATATGTAGTATATCTCTAATGGTACTGTTATTGTTAACCTTTCCCAAGCCATATACTGTATACGTATACTGTATCATTATTGTATTTGTCCAATAAATTATCTTGCAACACTTATACACATTTCGAATCTCCTATTCCGTCCTATATCTCCATCACTCTCCTCCTAATATATCTTTAAAAACTAAGTTCTTAAAATGCTTTTTGGAAAAAGAAAAGTAGAAGTGGTAGTGCATGTAAAATACCACACGTATATTATATTGTAGTGTTATATGTAGTATATCTAACTATAGAATAAGGAGAATTGCGTTTCGTACCGCGGAACTAACAATGTTGAAAATGTCGATTGATACAGGGCCACGAAAAAGTATGTGTGCCACCTAGCAGAATCATTGTTCTCACGTATTTTATTCCTCATACATATGGTCAGTTTTCAAGAAAGTTTGGTGAGTGGAGTAGATATACAACAGGATGAAACCCTGTCACCATTGACACGATGCTTAAAATCCCATGTAAATCGTCGACTGCAGGGCCCCCCGTTTTCCGAATCAAAAAGCTCTATCGATAAACGGTTTTAAGAGGTTGTGTGTTCCATCGAGACAATTCATTTTTGAGAAAATGAGCTCAATCCAAGCGGGGTCAAAAATACATGCTTAGATGAAACCCTGTCACCATTGACACGATGCTTAAAATCCCATGTAAATCGTCGACTGCAGGGCCCCCCGTTTTCCGAATCAAAAAGCTCTATCGATAAACGGTTCTAAGAGGTTGTGTGTCCCATCGAGACAATTCATTTTTGAGAAAATGAGTTCAATCCAAGCGGGGTCAAAAATACATGCTTACTGACATCCCTCCTTTACCGTTCAATTTCGTGGAGGGACTCGGATTTCGCTGACTTATACAAGATTGAGTACCAAAATATGATTTTAGAGGATGCAACTTTTTTTACCGATTTTGTGTGCAAGGAACTGTATGGAAAAGTTGCTCACAAAGTTAAAAAACTGATGGAAAAATATGATTATATGTCGTTTACTACTGACATTGGACAGATCCAAGCTCTAGTGCTACTCTGCTTAGCCTGACTTGACACGGATTATCAGAAAACTTTGAACAATCGTCAATTGTATTGAAATGCGAGACTTTTGATGACCGTCATACAGGTGACATAATTGCAGAAAAATTTAACACAATGCTTACTGAATGGAATATTTCAACTGAACAAGTGCATTACATAATACGGAATGAGGGCTCTAATATGAAAAGAGCTATGCGGTTAGTATTATTAAATAACTTGGATTGTACTGTCCACAAGATACAGATTGCTATTCGAAGTTGTTTACGATCGCAGGAAAACAAAAGAAATGAAACAAAAATGTAAGAAAATGTCGACTCCTTTCAACCATTCAACCATTGCTCAAAAACGACTGCAAAAAATTCAGAACAGACTGAATCAACCGCATCTTAAAGTGTTTCAGGATTATGTAACGCGATGGAATAGTACATTTTACATATTTGAGCGTTTTTAAAGGTAAAAGATGCGTTAAGTTTTTACACTAACGACAGTATCATTGAGACAATTTTGCGAGAAGAGTGGAAAATCATAGAATGCTGTCTTGAAGTATTGAAACTTTTTGAAGAAGCAACACGGGAGATGAGCAGCTCTCAGGCACTTATATCATCTGTGATTCCAATAATTCACATGCTTATGAAAAAACTTGATTATTTAACAAAATCACAGGATTCTGATGCTATTCGGCTAGCAGTCACAACTCTGAAAACTGAATTATCAGCTCAATGCTCTTCTTTGGAAGATAACAATTTATATGCCATTGCAACCTACTTAGACCCTCGCTATAAGCATAAATTGTGTGATCGAGGAAAAAATCAAAGATAAAATATTGAAGATGATACATGATGATCATGTTGTCATTGGTTCTCCAATATCATCTTCAAATGCAGAACAAGCGAAAAGAAAGAGAATGAGAGATTCTGTCGATCCGGAACAACCAGGGACGTCCGGTATGGCTAATAAGACATGCTTAAAAAACGATCTTGCCGTGATGTTAGACTTTCATTTTCAATCATCGAGTGAAGATGAAAGTCAAGAAGAAACACCTGACAACCCCGATGCTCTTCTAAAGAAAGAGTTGCTAATGTATCGCCGGAAAAAAGACTGGATTTGGATCAAAATTCACGGAACTGGTGGAGAGTCAATAGAGGAGAATTGAAAATTCTCTTTGGGTGGACACGGAAATACTTATCACCTCCACCGGCCAGCGTTTCCAGCGAACAATTGTTTAGTGACGCTGGGCTAACATACAATGCACTAAGTAACCGGCTGGAGGCTGATAAGGCAGCTATATTACTATTCATTAAATATAATGCACAAATTTTTAAATTCAATTATTATAAAAAAGTTTTTAAATTTTTGTTACTTAAAAGTATAACAAAACTTCAAATTCAAAATACTAATAAGACTGAAAATTGTTTAATACTAAGATTTTTTACTCAAAAATTGATTAATAAATAAAAATAATATAAAAATTATTATCACTTTCATGTATTTGTTCCCCTAAAAAGTTGTATTTCTTAAAAAATCTTGAAATCCGCATCCGCGGATGTCAAAAATTCAGCATCTGCAACAACCCTGGATTGGACCCCTTCGGGGGTCTTCCTCAAGTAAAGATCTGTATTAATAGATGTAGTTTTACTAGTTGCAGAACAATTAAAATATATAAAAATGTAAATAAATGTGTGTGAAATATGCAGATGCTCATCATAATATTACAAATCAACAGAATTAACATAGACTTATCCTTGGTGATGTCCTTCTGAGGCCATATATTGTGAGGTTTGAAATAAATATAATAGATTTTAATTTATGCCTTACAGGAGTCGTGTTGAAGCCATTATTTAGAGAGCAAGGAGTCATGCTTCAAAATTAAATAACTGATTAACAGTTGATTTCAAGACATTAGACGTGACAATGCAAAAATTCTAAAGTTCCAGGATGAAGCCTCAAGGTCACATGAGGCGTGTGATGATATGACATATAATGACAGTGGCTATATATTGTCTTACAATTAGTCACAGATACAATCACTGTCATTATTATTTTACCATTCACACTTCAAATTTATATATACCTTATGTGACCTCAAGACATCATACTCCAACTTTAGAATTTTTGCATTATCACGCCTAATGTCTTCAACGATGAGTTTCTTACAAACCTCTCTGAACACTTCCACCTATAATTAATTACACCAATTCAATAAATCAATAAATTAGGTAACTAGCGTACCTTTTACATAATTAAATTAGACACTGACATTATTTATCTTTTGATTTTGTTACATTAATCCATCTTAAAATCGTTAATCAGTTACTTAATTTTGTAGCATGACTCCTTGGTGTCTCAATGGTAGCTTCTCCACAATTCCTATAAGGAATAAATTAAAAACTATTATATTTATTTCAAACCTCACAATATATGGCTTCAGAGGATGTCACGAGAATAATTCTACACTAAATATGTTAATTCGTAACATTATGGTGAGTATCTGCATATTTCGCACACACTTATTTACATCTTTATATATTTTAATTGTTCTGTAACTAGTAAAACTAAGTTTATTAATATGTATCTTTATCTAAGGAAGACTCCCAAAGGGGTCAAAACGTTCTAAATTATCTCTTTTCTTCACTTAACTGGTTGGCCGACATCCAGACAGGATACTTTCCTGCAATTCCTATATATCATCACAGCCGACATTTCACATCTCTCTTAGTTGTAGATTATTTTTTTTTAGATGAAGCTCTTCAAGAAATTGTATTCTACAATTTTACAAAAAAAAAAGCGTTATTGTGATGTTTACCCTAATGACTTTTTGCGAGGCTGTTCAGCTTGGTCGAAGATTGTGCTCTTTTCCGCATTCTGGTTCTTCTTCGTCGACTCGGCATATAACCAAGTTCGACGTATCCACGTAGAAATCTTGGCATCATCCTCTTTGTGGAAATTACTTGTATTTGAGGATTTCAATGGCAGTATTCCGATCGAAGTGTATATAGTAAAAAGTAGCAGGAATATAAGAATGATTAGAATAAAACACAATGCCTGTAGTTTTGAACGTGGTCTGAAATTGACGGAAATTCTGTTGTTTACGCATATATTAATAGACTAAATCAATACTGTCATCTGTGTAAATATACTGAATTTTTATTAAAAACTTACTGTCGTACATCAGTTAACAGTTTATACTTTGCCTGTTGCACAGAAATTTGATTAACCATTGAACAATTTTAATGGTCCTTCCTTCCTTTCCTTACGGCTATATCCCCAATGGGGGACATGTGCCAGTAACTGGTCCTAATAATCAAGGATTGAAAGTTCGACACTAGATGGCGATGTACCTTGCGAGACGGGCCTTATTCTACTCAGCGTGAGGGGACCTACAAAGTTTATACACCGAATCCGAACAGTGTTGGGTGAAATCCGTAAAAATACTCACTTAAGTTTTCATATGAAAACCCATTGGTGAATGCCGCTGGAAGCTGGGCGCGAACCTCCAACCTTTCGGTCGTGAATCCGCTACCCTATCCACTGGGATACGGCCGCCCCCCAATTTTAATGGTAGAATATTATGTAGTTACTGAAAACAGAGATGAGTGGGGAGATGCACAATGCTCCGGTTTTAAGCGATACCAGAGATGAGTAGGGAGATTGCCAATGAGCCTGTTTTTGGTGGT